CTATTGCGCAATATTGTGCTATTGGATATTTCTTGCTATTGCGCAATACTGTGCAATTGAAGATTTCTTGCTATTGCGCAATACTGTGCAATTGAAGATTTCTTGCTATTGTGCAATACTGTGCAATTAAAAATTTCTTACTATTGCACAATACTTATTATATAATAATTTACACATCCTGTTTGGTGTGTATCTCCTACCATATCATTATTATTTGCTTTTAAATATAAATCAGAAATAACCAACTTAAAATGGAAAATTTTAAAAGAAAAAAAAAAGGAAAAAAAGAAAAAAAAAGGAAAAAAAAAAAAATCCCCCCCAAATTTTTGGAACCCCCTTATGATTCATCACCCCCAAACTCAATCCCAACCTTTCCTTTGTGGTATGGTACCTTGCAGTACAATTTCAGAGAGATTCATACACTTGAACACAAGTTATTGTCTGGAAACTAGAAAAATGTGTTTTTTGGCCCCTTTTTGGCCCCAAATTCCTAAAATATTGAGGCAGTTACCCCCATCATCAATCCCAGCCTTCCCTTTGTGGTATGGTACCTTACAGTACAATTTCAGAGAGATCCATACACTTACACACAAGTTATTGTCCTGAAACTAGAAAAATGCTTGTTTTTTGCCCCTTTTTGGCCCCTAATTCCTAAAATATTGAGGCAATTACCCCCATCATCAATCCCAGCCTTCCCTTTGTGGTATGGTACCTTGCAGTACAATTTCAGAGAGATCCATACACTTGAACACAAGTTATTGTCTGGAAACTAGAAAAATGCTTATTTTTGGCCCCTTTTTGGCCCCCAATTCCTAAATGTTTCGGCAATTACCCCCAAACTCAATTCCAGCTTTCCCTTTATGATATGGAACCTTGTAGTACAATTTCAGAAAGATCCATAAACTTACACACAAGTTATTGTCATAAAACTAGAAAAATGCTTGTATTTTGCCCCTTTTTTGGCCCCTAATTCCTAAAATTTTGAGGCTATTACCCCCAAAATCAATCCCAGCATTCCTTTTGTGATATGGAACCTTGTGGTACAATGTCAGAGAGATCCATACACTAACACACAAGTTATGTCTGGAAGTTACAAAAATGCTTATTTTTGGCCCCTTTTTGGCCCCTAATTCCTTTACTGTTGGTACCATAACCCCCCAAAATCAATCCCAACCTTCCTTTTGTGGTATTGAACCTTGTGGTAAAATTTCATAGAGATCCATTCACTTAAACTAAAGTTAGAGTGCGAAAACCAATGTGTCTTCGGACGACGCAGGACGACGCCGGACGACGACGACGACGCCAACATCATACCAATATACAACCACAAAAATTTTTTTGCGGTCGTATAAAAACTAGGGTGTATTGAATAAGTTAATAAATTTGTGGTTGGAAGTCACCATATCCTGAGATATTTGGACATAGAAAGCTTTACATTCTTCCAACATGTGCTGTGAATTTATTGCCATGGTAAGAATGGAAATATACATCTAGGACAGCTTAATTACTGATGGAAGAAGTCAATGTACCCATTTTTCTATACTCTAGATACCATTTAGAATTAGAAAAATGAAGAAAACCATTTCAAGTCAATATGATTCATTTAATAACGAGAGGCTCATGAGAGCCTGATATTGCTCACCTGTAATTTCAGTTTCAGGCATTTGACTTATTTGTAGATCTTACTTTGCTGAACAATTTTGTCATTTACACTTTCTCTCTTTCTATAATAATATTAAAGATAATACATAACCCAAAACTGTAAAATTTCCCAAAAATTAACTATTTCTGGACAGTAACCCAACAATAAGTTGTCCTATTGGTCTGAAGATTACTTGACAGGTAGAACTAAACCTGTTTAACACTTTCACCAATGTCAGTTTTGCTCTTACTGCTTTAGCTTTTTAAATGAAAGCCAAAAACTTCATTTGACCCCTATGTTCCATTTTTAGAAACTGCTGCCATGTTTTTGAATGGATCAAATCCCCGTATACAATCTATAAACTAGATACCCTACGGAACATTCAATTAAAGTTTTTAAGTATTTGGCCAAGTAGTTTCAGAGTTTTATAAAATGACCATAAACCCACTTATTCATGGCATGGTATCAATATTTCTGACCTGACACTACGTACTTTTTATTGCTTAATTCTTAAGAATTTAATATGCAATGTTTCAGGTTCTTTCAGGGGATATTCCCAGGTAAACCCTCAACAGAGGCCGACCTTTATATATTTATTTTATATCTAGTATAGTAGATAGATGTGTGTCTGTTTCATAACAGTTTTTTTTTTTTCAAATTTACTACACGTGCATATAGGTCTACGTTGTAGCTAGTCTTTTTACAGACTTTTGAAAAGTAATTAGACTTTCACAAAAAATGTAAAAAAAAATTTAAGGGCTATAACTCCTCAAAGGGGTTTATTGACTATTTTGATCATGTTGACTTATTTGTAGACCTTACTTAGCTGAAAATTTATTACCATTTATACTTTCTCTCTATCTATTATAATATTAAAGAAAATAACCAAAAACAGTAAAATTTAATAAATATAAACTATTTCCAACAGTAACCCAACAATGGGTTGTCGAACTTGTCTGAAAATTTCATGACAGATAGATCATGACCCATTTATCACTTTAACGTTTTTTGCTGTACATCACATTTATTTTTCGTTTATTGTTTTGTACACAAGTCAGGCCATTAGTTTTGTCATTTGAATTGTTTCACATTTCGGGACCTTTTATAGCTTACTATGCAATATGGGTATTGCTCATTGTTTAAGGCTGTAAGGTGACATATAGTTGTTACCTTCTATGTCATTTGGTCTCTGGTAAATAGTTGTCTCATTGGCAATCAAACCACATCTTCGTATTTTTATTTTACATATATTCCTAAAATGAAATTGTGAGGCTATCAACAAAAGATCTGTCAGTGTACATAGACTATTACTTGTTCCTTTGGTTGTGTCATGGTGGGCAAGAAGACTATAGCAACCACTTCCTGCAATGCTATATCTAAGAAAAATTATATTATAAAACTGTCAGTTTTTATTTGTAAAATGGTTTATAATAAAACAACAAACTATTACAAAATAAATTACATGTTCTTTGTACAATTTTATCACAGAATTACAAAATAAAATATGCTAATATACTGTTACAGAGTAATAATCATCCATGTCAGAATTATATAGAATATTCTTTCTCACCTAAATTTGTACATAATGGAAAATAAATATGTTTATCGTTCTTCCCTGCGCCTTTATGACCCTGCTTAGTCACTCCGTAATTCTCGTATCATGGCTTTGAGACTTGAGCTGACATTATCAGCGACTTCACAATGTGTTAGGAGACATTATCAAGCTTACTTTCGTCAAGCGTAAAACTGTCTAAGGGAGGGGAAAAGACCAGTACCAGAATGATAAACAGATGATAGAATTTTCTATGTATAGATATGGTAAAATACTCAGCTGCTCTACATAATGTGAAGCTTTTTTGCTCGTTTGCTGCAGTCACTCTCTAAAAAGGTTCGAGTCTGATATTTTACGATATAAATTTCTAGAAAACCCAATAATCTATACTTATCTGCAGAAATAAAGGTGTTGATGGAAATAATGTTAACTAGACTGAGATGAGGGCTTAACATTTTTTGGAATATATTCTTGGTCTTTGGAAAGTCACAAATAAAACTTTTATAACTCAAGGATGTTAAATCCCAACAGTGTTGACATAGTAACCTATCATACTAACATATTGTAAAATGGTTTGCATTAAATACAAACAATATTGCTTTCATTTTAGTACAATCAAAGTAGATATAAATATATTATACAAATGTATATTTTAACAGCTTTAGACATAACATTTCCCCTCATCATTATTCCATCAACAACTCTTACACAACAATGTATGAAACAGTTCCTGATATAAAGGCAATCAGGCCTTGCGATCATAAAAATTTCAAGTACAATAATGATCCTCAGATCCTTATGACCAGAAGCCCAGGAATTGAGGTATAAATTTGTTTTATTTATTTTTCATTAATTTTATCATGAGGATCTGTTTTCATGTTTATCATGTGAAATATTTATTAAATGTTTTATTTTCACAACAGTTTAAAATTTGATGACCAAAAAATAAAAGCAAAGAGGGGTACCAATATTTGAATTTTTTTCGAGGGGTCATGCAACAGTCACAAAGGAAATAAATATGAAACATCTTTTTTTCAATCTTATTGACTTACAAAATTGTTACTTTAAATATATAATGTTATATAGGATAGAAATATAAAGGTGACTCTTCGCCATTATGTTGAAATCTTTGTAGTTTAAAGCATATTTATAGCTAGAATATAAAATGTTGACAAAATTCAATGACATGTATTTAAAATTGGCCTAAGCCTAATTTGTCTTAGTTATCAAATCTTTGACTTTCTACTTCCTGAAAATTTTGCATAGTTTATAAAGTATTATGGAATAAAAGATCAACTCTCTTTTCAAGTATGTTTTGTCCTCCCCGAAAGTGACCTCTTTAAATAGGTTGAACTGTAGTTCAAATGCATTTGGACACATATCAACTGACCATATGTAATAATACATATGTTAAGTGATATGTAATTATGACATACATGTATGTCAATCACAACTGTAACAAAATTTCTCAAAAAAAAATATTTGATTTTGTCAATATACCATGAATAAATGGAAAACATCTGGTAAGTGTACCATAATATGAAAAAAGGAAGGTTTACTGCATGCTAGTCAATCAATAGCAACAATCAGACTGCACAGTATTTGGCATCAGAAAACTGAGTCAAAGAAACGAAAGTTCACATTCGGCATTAAACTGAACTGTGAGGATGCTAACACAAAAAGATAAGAAAATACCAGTGTCCTATCATAGGTATTGACAGACAGTATATGTATGGTCTGCATTAACACAACATACATACAAGTACTACCATCCTACAGAACAGTAAGTACATGGGCCTTTTAAAAAAACTTTTAAATTGTTGGTAATGTTGGCAGATATTACTGGTTAGCTTTCTGCAACATACATCATCGTAGACAAAATAAACACATCCATATCAAAATAATTACAACTTTGGAAAAAGTACAAAAGAGACAGTTGTTCCTTACATGTGTTGATAAAAATTTGGATATTCTATTGTTTAAATGGTAAGCCCAAATTACCCTTGGAAAATTTCTTTTCATCAAATCTTGCTGAACTTTAGCAAACTATGTTAGAAAAGTCATTTGTAACTTTTGTTATATATTTGACTTTGTTTCAGCTGTCTGACATTTGTGACCTCTTTGCCATATCTGGTTGTGACATTAACATGGTTTTTGCACAAAGATTAGACAAATATCTTTTTGAAGTGATTAATACTGCATCTACTGCAAACTAAATTTAATTCAGACCATCCTATTTGGGATAAAGATCAGTTAAGTGGAATAATTTTCTTAGTAACAGCTGCAAAATATTTGCTTTACATAATAAACAATCTAGTAATCTGTGATCTTGTAATAAATTTATCAATATATTTGAACTATAACAACAATCACTAACTAACTAACATTGGGAATTAAAACAAAAATTAAGTGAAAAATGAGACCAATCGGAATTTACCATCTCTATAAAAAAAATATGATCAGATGAACTGATGAAAGGATACATCAAAATGAAATATTACAAAAATGAATATTAATAAACTGTTTCCTCTCATGAGCTCAATTCAGAACAATTCAAGATTAACCAATTCAACTACAGTTATATCTTCTGTACCAAGTTCTTATCCTATGATAAATTTGTTAAAATGTTCATTGTTAACTATTCCAGCAAGGCAAATCTGTTGGTGTTGGAGCTTTAAATACACTAAACTTCATGTAATATACAAATTTGAACATTGAACTTTCACTCATAAGATCCCAATAATGTACTCTAAATTCTCAATTAACTTACATTTGTATATTTGCATTTATATCTATGTCCCTTTAATTTTTGTCATACAGAAATGTGAAACTGAAGAAATTGTACCTCGAACAATTCATACATTAATCAATGGCCTTGCAACTGGTCAGTTAAATATTATGTTATCAGAAGTTTGGTTTCAATACCTGATACATATTTTTATCAAATACTGCATGATAAAATTAAACTAGAATTTGTCGTATCAGAATCTGAAGGATTACGGGTAATTTGATTGTTTCTACCCCAGAATGAGAATAACATTAAATCATTGGTTGAATTTTAATTGTTTAGAACTTTTTGACCAATCACAAAGTTTTGGTGTACACTTTTGAAAACATAGATTCTGAAAAGGCGAATTGATCATTTGGTTAACACATGAATGAATCTTACTGTAAAGAGCTCCTGAATATGAAATGATTAAAATGATAAATACATGTATACATATAAAATAATACTGAGGATTATAAAATGATTACAACATAAACAACACACATGGTCTGGCTTTCAAGCCCTAACTATATAATAAATATTTTCTCTATGGAAAAATAACATATCTATCATTATCTAAAACTATGCACTCTTTATTCTAAATGTATAAAAATAAATAAAATTAAGGAATGTCTGCACCATCTATTTGAAAAACTATCTAAATATGTTAAATCACTATCTCTATATCTCAATGAAGCAAGAACATGAGCAAGAATTTATACTTTAAAGAAAAAGAATTTTGTGAGCAAGAATCCATAATTTAAGAAAAATATTTTTTACTCCATCTCAGCAGCTTTTTTTTTCATCATCTTAAAAGGTAATAGGGGTTTTACAATATACAAAAATACTATTTTGTCTAAATTGCATTGTTAGTTTTGTATCCCATCTGACATATAAATTTTGGTACACCTCGATAGTGAAATATAATAACAAGGCAACCAGCATTCTTTTTTGTCATAAATAATAACAAAAAATTTAAAATTTACATAACAAATAAACGAAATATCCCTTTGACAGGTATTAATTATTTTTCCATGTTTTTACTGGCACTTAAAATACAAGAGAAATGAATACACCTTATTTCACTTTTACACATTATAACTACTTTAACTTTTTGTTCATATACTCTAGAATATTCCTTTCACGCAAAGTGGTACTAAGTAACATGTCAAGTTTACACTTATATACATCATTTCAATGCTAAAATAATAAAAATTTTACACTGCCTACTTTTAAACATCACTCAAAGTTGTGTGTGTCTACAGTACTTTTCAATGTATGGTGATTTTGATACAGATATATGGGGTTAGTGGTTGTTTCAAAAGTTGCATCAGATGTAATTTTTCTATGCATCTGCCAAGTCTTTCTAACAGCCAAATTTGGTAACAGAAAGATTTGACAGATTTCCATTTAAAAAACTCAACCACACTTTACTAATTTGACCAACTCAGGTGACATTAACCATAGGTTAATATTTCATGCAGACTGTTGTTGAGCCTAATTTTCTGACATAATCACATGACTGGTGTATGTAAAACGAGATTGATTCAGAAAAAAGAACCATCTCAGAACTATGACCTAAAATCCATTTAAATATAAATAATTTTACTCTTGGTCAGATATGATATTGTCTTTGGAGAAAGAAAATAAGCTTGATTTAAAAATATTTAGCACCAAAAGTGATATTCTAAGTACTGGACAAATGAGTTAACATTTTGTCATACAGTTCTAATATTACAATGTATATCTATAAATAGCTGAAAGAATCAGATGAAATTACCATAATATTACTCATCTATTTACAAAAAATATTTAATTAAATTCTGAATAAAATTCATGTACTTTTTATAACTGCCTTAGCAAATATAGAAAGATAAGAATTTTAATTGTAGATCAGCATTAATATTGCAATGATAAGATCAATCCATTGAATATAGTTGTGGTGTAAAATCAACACAGAAAGAATAACTTAGGATTTCTTAATTCAAAAAGCTAGTTAAGGTGGTACCTAACACTACAGGGAGATAACTCTGTAAAAATCAGGTGAACGTTTTAATCACGTTCTATTGTTAAGGTAACATTAAGCTTCTCAATGATCAAAATTAGTGTTTGTCAAACTGCTTTATATCCAATGAAATTTTTCCGATAAAGGGTGTGGTTCAAATTTTTAAAATTTTTTACATTTTTGCCAAAGGGTCAAAGCAAATATTTTGTCAAAATTTTATGAAAATTAAACGAGCCAAATTAATTTTAGTGAAGGTGTTTGGTACCACCTTAAACAGACTAAAACATTACAGTAATGTTTTAAGCTTCAAGCAATATTACATCTTATTAAGTTTCAGTGACAAGAATACTACCACTGAAAATTTATCCCTGATCAGTACACAACTGTAGCCAGAGGGTTTTGACCTGAATCTGAAAATTAAATGCTATTAATGTAAGTTCGACTAGCATCTTGTCCCCAAATAATCCCCTCAGAAACATTCTGGCTACTGGCATGAAGTATTAAGGTAAGAAGAAAAGTAAAATAATAAATATAAATAGGTCAGTGCATGAGTTTAAATATTTGGACTATTGGCAGAGTTCAGTTAGACTGAAAACTGAGTATTTTACTTTATGGATGTAAACAGACTATCAAAAAAAAAAATTAAACGTAAAAAAACACCAAAAAAACCCAATGGAACACAAATTAATATGATTGTCTGCCTCCCCAAAAATAGCATAAAAAAATGGTGATAATTAATAAAGGCATGATAAAAAATGTAATAAAAGGAATGAAAATAATATAAATTAGAAACGAGTCAACAATTACTGTAAATCAATGTGATATTCAAATTTGAAAATAAATCGTTATAAAGTGCAAACCAAGTTATTATTATTCTATTCTCTTGCAACTAATCAGTAGAACTTTATTTTTCAAAGTCCAGTTGTTTCATATCCATAATTTAAATCTATTCTCAAAACATTCTTCAAAGCTCATCTTAAAATACCATGAGCTAAAAATGAATAATGAGCTGAAAACCTGCAAGAAATTAGGTAAACAAAATTTCTATTAATTTCTCATCTTTATAATTAAATTGAGAAATGATAAAGGAATCAGACAAAATTTCCAATTAAAAAATCAAAGTTCATACTGGACAAATTATGTTTTGATTGGAACAAGCATTAAATGTTGAACAAATGGTTCATGTATTAATCTATTTGGTATTTGTTGGGAGACTTATGCCAATTATCAATATTACTGGAGGACAAAGTCCTAATATCTATAGAAAAGATCAAAATATCAGCCCTTAAACTTAATTCTCCACTGTAACTAAGGATCATTCTGTATAAACTTAAGGTTTTGATTTGAATTCTTCACGCCTAATACATGCAGATTTTCAGGAGTCACCAAAAAAGTCTGAAAGGCACAATGTTTTTCTGTCATTATCAAAGAAAGATGTCTAACTACCCCAAGCAAAAAAAAAAAAATATAACCCAAAAAAACATACAAACAACCATCCCAAACATTTATTAATGCTGATTTTGTCCTTTATCATATGTAAAACCCTCATACTCTAATCTAAATAGTAAGAACTAATACATTTTGCAATCAAAAATTATCCTGGAATCATGCAGTTGGTTTACAGCGAATTAATCAATTGATGCAATTTTTAACAAATAAAAAAGATAAAATTGATCAAAACAACACAGAATTAGGATAAAATCTTTAACACTTCTATTGTCATGCTGTGTCTTCATTGAGCCTGTTTATGATGTCATCAAAAATTAGGTATCATTGCCACCGTCACAACAAAACCCATGAAAAATGTAAATAACATAAATGGGGTGAAAATACTCCATACTGGCCACAATCCAACTGTAACACTGAAAAATAAAACAAAAAAAAATAAAATGTCTAAACTCTTGGTTAATTTGAACTGATGGTATGACTATGACACTTGTCATCGTGGAAAACCATTAAATGTCCTTTAGATGTCAGTTTTAACTTTATGTTGTTGTTGCGTTTCTGTCTCACTGGCATTTATAGCTTACCTCCCTTCAATCATAACGATGTCAACAGCTTATGCAATAGGTTATTTTCTTGTCACAATTTAAATTATCATAACATATTATGTTAATAACCATATCCTTTTTGATTTTATGGTATTGTGGAATGATTACCCCATATCTCCTTTTATTCATATTTCATCTTATCAAACTTACAATAAAGCTATTTAGTAAACTGATACCAAATGACATCCAAATTTTTCAGGGTAGGATGTAGTTACTGAAGTTTTAATTCATATCCTTATAATAATTTCAACATGCTCAGCTCCTGTTGCAATCCTGGTAGATAAAATGGATCAATTATGGAAATATTATATGATTTGCCACTATGTGTGAGGAATGGTCTGAAATCACATGACATTTACATGTGTTCACTGCCTAACAACTGATAGTGTAGGACATATTTTATGATTACTACTTACCACACTCCTCCCATTATAAATGCTCCAGTAGCTATCGGTATTGCTGCAGGACAAGTCTTTTCCCAATCATCAGAACTCATTTTCTTTATCCAGGACAAATAAACAATTAGGAAGCCTGCTATTCCAACATTGATCAAAATCAAAATGGCACCAATGTTGAACCATAATCTAGAATTATAAAAAAGAACCTTTCTACTCCAATCTCTATCCAGTGTCAGAGAAATCTATACAACTTGACATAAGCTTTATAATTTACATTTAAACCCACAGATTCATAACAAAATTACTAAGACATCTTAGACAAGTCTCGATATAGAATCTGCAATAACTTAGATATAATTCAATATGGAATCTGCATTATTTTTGACATAATTCATAACAGAACCTACATTATCTCAGACATGATTCACTGTCAATCCAGCTATACCTTTTAAAGACCATAAAACAACCTTATATATCTTAGCCCAAAACAAATATAAATAAAAATAAGAAGATGTGGTATGATTGCCAATGAGACAATTCTGATTCTGAGACCAAATGACACATAAGTTGTTTCCTGCCTCGAATCTGAATAAAATAGGGTAGGTAGGTAGGGAGAATGCAAGTCAATTCTTTCCAAGTCTGATTCATTCCATGTTAATTCGTCCTAGATTTGGTCAATTCCTTCCAGGTCTGTGGTCAATTCATTCCAACTGGTCAGTATATGTTTACAACATAGTAGATTTCAGATTGATCCAGTATTTGATATTTTTCCTTATATAACCATGTTGAGAATTTTCTCGATTCCTTAACAAGACATTCATCCTTTTTCCATTGGTTTGACCTTCCAGCAAATTGGGAATCTGCACAGTTAATTTTCGAAGTTATGTGACCTTGACTTGCATGAAATTAATTGGGTTCAAGCCCTTTTAATGAACTTTAACTATGTTTAATGAAATTTGGATTCAAGAAGGGAGCTTACCTGCTTAAACCTTAAGATTAATGTGAGGATAATCTTTAGGGCTATTCCATTAAAATATATGTGGGAGGGTAGGAAGGGACTTTCAAAATATCCCTACAATCAAGAACCATTTTTTTTAGATAATTTTGCATAATGGTAATAGACGCATACTGAAAAAAGACCCATGACCCACATTCAATAATTAAACTTCCCTTCCTACCCTCCCACACACATTTTAATGGAATAGCCCTTACTTGCAATTAGAAGTGGACAACCTATAATGGATATTGGATGCTTGACATCCATGGTGCCAAAAATATTTCCCTGACCTAAGGACGAATGGTTTGTGTTACTATGCACCTTTTGCAACTTCATTTTAACTTTAAAGTTCTCTGGTAAATAGAGAGCCAGATTTAAAGACAGTAGGTCACATTACACCAAAATTTCTGTTTTTTTCTGAAACCCTATACTGTTTACAGATAAAAAGAATAATTTCAAATGTAAAATAACTCTGCCAAAGTAGAAACAAAATAGTATTAAAAATGTAGAAAGGAAATAAACTTTACAATAACATCATAAACCAAAGTTGGTCCATGATTTTGAAAAAACAGGGCCATCCAAGGCAACATTAGAAGTAGGCTTTGTAAAATGTCTCTGCATTAACCACATATGTAGCTCAATAAGGGACCCTGCCCTAAATTGTATAAGTTGAATACTTATATATTTGAAATAAAAAAAGTACTATTTATTATTTCATTGTCTCGCCTTGACGAAATAGTGCTGTTTTAATTTCAAAATTTGTATTTTACTATCAAAATACATATAGGCGAGACATATCTCTGTGTCAACAGTTTATTTTCATGGTTTCAATTATTATTTACACCCAAGCTGACTACAGGCTTATTCTTCTGATGAACACATTAAAGACTTTTATGTGCATAGTATTGAAATACAATAAGCAATTATAATGAAATACTGATTTAATCAAAAACAAGAAATGATTGTAACAGGATGCTGTTACGAAGTCTCCCAAACGAAGCTCCCATAATTCGTAATTCCCAGGATCGCCTGACATTGGGCAACGTCCAGTGAAAATTGGTTTGGTCAAGTAAAGTTATATGCATTAGTGATGCCTGGGGACTAACCTTGTATATCATTCAGATCATCTTGGCATGACAAACCAGAATATATATGGTTTAGGGGTGGGGATCTCGACCATTTACAAGATACTAGAACATTGGGGGTGGGGGGAACCCCTGGGGACCGACCCTATACGTCATTCAAATGTTTGTTACATGACGAACAGGAATATATATGGTTTAGGGGTGGGGATCTCAACCATTTACAAGATATTAGAACATTGGGGGTGGGGGGAACCCCTGGGGACTGACCGTATACGTCATTCAAATGTTCGAGACATGACAAATAGGAATATATATGGTTTAGGGGTGGGGATCTTAACCATTTACAAGATATTAGAACTTTCTCAAATGGCAGGGGGTCGGGATGACCCTTGGGGACTAACTATGTATATCATTCAAACCATCTTAGCATGACAAACCAGAATATATATGGTTTAGGGGTGGGGATCTTGACCACTTACAAGATATAGAACTTTCTTAAATGGCAGGGGGTGGGGGTGACCCCTGAGGACTAACCCTGTATTTCATTTGATGTGCTTTATCATGACAAACCAGAATATATATGGTTTAGGGGTGAGGATCTCGACCATTTACAAGATATTAGAACTTTCTCAAATGGCAGGGGGTCGGGATGACCCCTGGGGACTAACCCTGTATATCATTCAAACCATCTTAGCATGACAAACCAGAATACATATGGTTTAGGGGTGGGGATCTTGACCACTTACACGATATTAGAACTTTCTTAAATGGCAGGGGGTGGGGATGACCCCTGGGGACTAACCCTGTATTTCATTTGATGTGCTTTATCATGACAAACCAGAATATATATGGTTTAGGGGTGGGGATCTCGACCATTTACAAGATATAAGAACTTTCTCAAATGGCAGGGGATCGGGATGACCCCTGGGGACTAACCCTGTATATCATTCAAACCATCTTAGCATGACAAACCAGAATATATATGGTTTAGGGGTGGGGATCTTGACCACTTACAAGATTTTAGAACTTTCTTAATTGGCAGGGGGTGGGGGTGACCCCTGAGGACTAACCCTGTATTTCATTTGATGTGCTTTATCATGACAAACCAGAATATATATGGTTTAGGGGTGGGGATCTCGACCATTTACAAGATATTAGAACTTTCTCAAATGGCAGGGGGTCGGGATGACCCCTGGGGACTAACCCTGTATATCATTCAAACCATCTTAGCATGACAAACCAAAATATATATGGTTTAGGGGTGGGGATCTTGACCACTTACAAGGTATTAGAACTTTCTTAAATGGCAGGGGCTGGGGGTGACCCCTGGGGACTAACCCTGTATTTCATTTAATGGGCTTTATCGTTTAGAACATTTTCAATTAAAAAGATTGTGTCTATCACAAACGGTTTTCAATTTATAATCATTTGAAAATTTTTAAAAATAAAATCACATAGGGTTCTATAGTAAAACCCTCTTTTCTTTTTGCCCCTCAAAGTACCCCTTTATAAACCCCATTGCACAAACAAAACCCTGATTGCACCACTAGACATGTTAGTCTAACATATTGTGAAACCCTAAGTTAATCTGACAAGCGGTTTTGGAGAACGGGTGCGGACAAGTTCAAATTTAAAAGAGGTGGAAGAGGAAGAAGAAGAAGAATAATAATAATAATAATAAGAACTGAGCAAAAACAATAAGTCTTCCCAAACTTCGTTTGGGAGACTTAATAAAATAAGCTAGTATTATTTGATATTAAAAAGAAATGAATGAGTGGGCATACTGGGACCAATTATATATATATATAGATAAATAAACTATAGAAATGAATTTTAAAAATACATTATTATTTAACTTGCAGCATACACATAAAATGTAATAAGATTATCTTAAGGTGTTTGTAAGGTTGAACACCATTTTCTTCATCTCCCTGAAATTTTTTAATTTGGAACCAATTGACCAACAATTTGGTTGGTACAAATTAGAGCTGGAACGAATAATCCAGATATTGGTATGGAATTTTTTTATTTTTTTTTAAAATAAACCAAGATACAGGTAAATTTCAGAACAGAGGATATTCAAAACCAATTTGGCAATACTGAATGAGTATTACTAAACATTTTAGGAGAGAAGAAAGCCAGAAACATCATTTTTATTTGGTAATTGTCTGATTGATTGTTGGTTGCTTAACGTCCAGTGACAAATTTGTCTTATTGACATTTCATTTATATTTGGAGGAGACAATATAACCGGAGTAGATGACAGATTTGGACAACTTTTCTGCAAATGTATAAAAAAAAAATAGGGTCAAAGGGTCTGAGACAAAGACGGTTGGGAGGTAGGAAACAAGCATATATATACCTGTTAGTCAAATGCGTTTTGTTAAAATATACTTTTTCACTTTTTGGGTTTTTTGGAAAATGTTGTTTGTGCTGTATTGAGACCCCTCTAACAAGAAATTTGTTTTGCATGCACACGTATAAAAATTGCAGTTTTAATCCAACGCAATCATAGGTTTGAACGTTGTTTTCAATTAAGACTTGTATATATATATATATTATTTTTTTTTGCCTTAGAAATAATCAATTACAAATAATTAAACCTAGTATATCTTATGCATACCTATTCACCCTGGGATCATAGCGCACTGCAACATAAAAATCTGTGTAGTAAAACAATGCAATAGAACCTATGAACCATAAGATATTCTGTATGCTGTATGGATAGTCTTTAGTTCTGTATTTTTCAAACTTTTTCTCAAACTTTTCCTGTGTCTTACTGTCCATATTCTGACTTAAAGTATATTTTTCATTAGGCTTCTCACTGTCTAGTGCATCTAAAATAAAAAAAAATCCATTTCTAAGTTTAGTCACATGTCTTCATATAGTGAACTGGGTTTTTTGGTAATCATGGACATTTAAAAAAATATAAATTTGGATATAAAAAGAGAGAGAGATCTGTAGTATACATCTGAGACAGCAACCCAAGCACACAAAAAAAATAGGGTACCACGATTTCCCGAGAATAACAAGAACAAAATAATATCCCGAAAACAAACTGATTTGTCCTGATAACAAGATTTTACATGGTGTTATACTGCTTAAATTAGTGTAACAGCATATAATTATAAGGTTTATGACGTTTTAGTTGTGTATAATCAATAAAAGTACAAGTTATCTCCAGGAAGTCGATTTGTATGTCTTGTATGCAAATTCCTTGTTGAAAACAATATGGCGGACTAATTATTCATAAGGTAGATAATTCGACTTGAAAGCAAAGTACTGTGGTACTGTTGCCTCTCTGAGGATTTTTGTTGTTGAATTTCGGCAATTTATTTGTGATTTGATGTATTATCTAATTGTGATAATTTTGCAACTGATCTGTGTTGATGCTATTTTATTAATGTTAATGAATGAATTTATGTTTGACTCATTGACATAATACCACAATTACGTATGTTTCTCTCCGGATATATCAAATAAGAAATATAGAGATCAGATTATTTATTTCAAGTACAAATCCAATGTATACAATGGTATAATATACAAGAAATTTATCCAAAAAAAATGAAGTACAATATATTTTTACATAGTCTATTCAATCAAAATAACATAATTTGTTTTAAAAATCTAGAAATTATAAAATGTAACACGTCAAACCCATACAATTATTAATAGTCCTAAATAAAATATTCAAAATTTAGCATCTATTTTTTTTTCTTAAAATTTTGATAAGTGTTCTCTATTATTTATTCCCTCATGTCAACATCTTTCTGTATATAATACACATATACATACATATATATAAATATCAATTCATAGTTTTCCATAAGATTTCAGATATACATGTATATACAATAGAATTTATTTATTCACATTGGAGGTACAGAGAGTATGCAAAATATGTACATGAATATGCATCTATTTACAAAACATATATACAATACAGTGGCTTCAAAATAATATACATTTTAGCCAGGAGGACTCAGATGTTTAATTATACACTTTATAAACTTACAATAATGTTATTTACATGAAGCAAGTGACTAATAAATATAAAATATTTATTGAAGCAAATTGTAATTTGTTTCTTCTAATTTTGAAAAGAGATCAAAGAAAGAGTTATGTATTTTTATTACACCATAAATAGAATTTTACATAAATGAGTTTGATTCTTTTTTTTTCAAGAATTTGAATGATTGTTTTCTCATTTTGTATTTTCTATATCTGTTAAATTATATACTTCCAACTTCTATATTATTTATTTTATTAAAGAAATTCCTTATGCAGTCCGCGGAAATTATTTATTTTATTAAAGAAAATTTAAAACTTTAAAGGTACCCTGCACAAGGCACGGGCATACCATATGCAGTCTGCGAAAATTATTTATTTTATCTAAGAAAATTTAAAATTACAAAGGTACCCTGCACAAGGCACGGGCATACCTTTTGCAGTCCGCGAAAATTATTTATTTTATCAAAGAAAATTTAAAACTACAAAGGTACCCTGCACAAGGCACGGGCATACCTTATGCAGTCTGCGAAAATTATTTATTTTATCTAAGAAAATTTAAAACTACAAAGGTACCCTGCACAAGGCACGGGCATACCTTATGCAGTCCGCGAAAATTATTTATTTTATTAATAAAAATTTATTACTACAAAGGTATCCTGCACAAAATTACCTGATGCATTCAGCGAAAACATTAAAGTTATTCTATTCCAAAAAGTTATTTTTCAGATTAGGAAACAAAATCAGTAAGCAAATGGTAAGTATATGATATGATATGATATTTGACAATACAGATATGATATTTGACAATACAGATATGTATTGAAATGAAGTTTATTCATTGTTCTTATGTCTCTGGATGGGTTTTTGTTTTTTTTGAAAGATGTTGTTCTTTCATTTATCTTTCTTTTTCTTTGTCCTATTTTTTTCCCAAGGGATCTTGGTTTGATTACTGTCATTTTGCCATCGCTGGAAATTGACACTTTGTTGTCTTTAGGGATGAATCTCCTAAATCTTTTAAACAGTCTGTTTCTCTCCTCGCTGGTTTTATTTATCCAAATAGTCTTGGAAATGTTAAAATGTTTGTGGGTAGCCGCCAATCTATACTGCCCTGTGCTGACAATAGATCGGAGAAGGTCCTTGTATTGAGTCCTGATGGCATCCTCAATGATTTGTACCAAGTCCAAGAGAGGTTTGGATTCCCATGCAATGGACTTTTTGAGCACATGGTTTAAAGACTCACTGTTGTTGTTAGTCCATGGCTTATCGAAGTGGCCTTCAGGGAGATTGGTCTCCCATAGCTGGTGAATATTCTTTTTCAGGCGGTTTTCAAAATATCTATGAAAGGTATTTGTTGATTCCATAGACTGCTTACTTATCTCCTCACTTTTGGCTTCAAAACAAATTATATCATCAGCAGTTAAAAGGCCAGATGTCCCAAAGATGGAGTCCAAAATGACATCTCGGTCTTTCTTATTGACAGCGTCGTCTATTAATTTCTGTTTGGCATTTTGTCGTAAGTGGCGCATACATAAAATTTGTCCAGAGTGAGGAAATGCTTCTTTAACTGCGTTTATCAAACCTATTTCCTCATCAGTACCAAAGACCAGTTGTGAAGTATCAATACCGCGGAATTTAACTTTTAGATGATTGAAGAAATTGACGAAGCCTTCAAAGTCACTATTGTCATGTATAAATACGGGTCCGAGAAAAATGGGGGGTTCTGAAGTTGTTTCCATATTTACTGCGGTCTGTTTGAAGCATAACGTGGTCACATGCATGTCACATAAGTTGAATGTTTTATCTATCCCTACTATAGATTGTCCAGAACAGCACAATGTTTTGATGTCTTCTAACTGCTGTTCTGTGTACAGAATTAGACAGGGGGCTTTGCCGTGATCTCTGATGATGGACTTAACAATCGAATCTTGTTCTGACAGTTTTTTGTCTATTTCATTGATGTGGTCAGCAATATTACCTCTACTCATATATTGTCCACAATCGTTTTTTCGTTGATTCTTTTTGTCTCTGTACTTCTTATCATGAACCTGTCTCCGACTGGTTGGCCCACTTAATTCGTCATGTTTCAATGTCAGTTTGTTATAAACATTCAAAGGCGTTTCTTTTTGCAGCAGAATTGACATCTCAGTCATAACAGTTGCTGGTGTGCGAAGATATTCAGTATCTTTTTTGGTATTACCATGTGCAGACAATCCTGGAAATATTCCAATATACTCTACTATAGCAATAGCATTGGTCTGACCACCTATCCACGAAACACGCCTCTTATACGATGAATCCTTCTTCAAAGTGGAATAGTTTCTAAATAGCTCAACAACTTGGTCTGGCGTCGGTTGATTTTCGAGTGGAATAAAGTTCTTTTTACCTTCCTCAGTTTTGACAATGCAGAATGTATCGTTCTTTTTGTGAACAAATTTTGGCAATCCATTTGGGTCAGTTTCAAAGTATGACTTGGCAGTTGAACCTTTTGCACCATCGTACACACCACAGTCGTCCGAAAAATTACTAATGGCTCCCCTTTTTCTTCTCTCGATGTTTTCTGCATTTTTTTATAACAAAGAACACGTCGTTCTTAATTCCACCGGGAATGTTGTTATGAGCTTCTTCGTAAGTAAACGATGATAATTGCTTAATAAGTTCTACTACATCCATGAACCCTTTTAACAGACTTTGACCGAGGGTGTACTTTTGTATCGTGGTCTTCAGAAATTAATGGATTCGATTCATTAATGTCATCTGTGTCGCTAAAATCCATTTGTGAACAGTCACAAGTAGTTGAACATTCAGAGACATTATCATCGACAATTTCAGCATTAACAGTATCACTGTCATCTTCGTCTATCGAATAAACGGTTGCTATAGTCTCCGTCCTTTTCCTCTTAAACAATGGAACAAAGTGGTTTGTAATAAGGATAGGTCCCATAGGTATAGCAGCAGAGGTCAACATGATCGTACAAGCTGGGTCCTCGGAATTGTTAACGTTTCAACCGCACACCTTTCGCGAATATGGCTCTGATACAAATTCCATGTTCAGTTGTGGTGGGAAGTAGGATCTTATAGGTATCTTTAGAACAGCACTAAGGGCATACATGTGCATCATGTCTGCATATGTTCCAAGCATTCCTACATATATATTATAAAATAAATATTGAATATGAAATTAAATAAACAGAAAACACACCAAAAACAAATAAAATGCTTCGCTGGGGCGCAGCTTGATACGACCGCAGAGGTCGAACCCTGAACAGTTGGGGCAAGTATGGACACAACATTCAAGCTTGATACAGCTCTGAATTTGAATTGTTATTAAATATTTGACACAGCATAGGTTTCTGACACAGAAAGAATGTGGTCTAAGAACTTGAATTTTTTTAATTTACCTATTATGGTCCAATGTCCAAAATCAAAATACATGGTTAGATTCAGCATATCAAAGAACCCCATATATTCAATTTTTGTTAAAATCAAACAAAGTTTAATTTTGGACCCCAACTTGGACAAACTTGAAAACTGGGCCCATAATCAAAAATCTAAACACATGTTTAGATTCAGCATATCAAAGAACCCCAAGAATTCAATTTTTGTTAAAATCAAACTAAGTTTAATTTTGGACACTTTGGACCTCAATGAAGACCAATTTAAAAAACGGGACCCAAATTAAAAATATAAAAACACAGTTAGATTTGGCATATCAAAGAACCCCAATAATTCAATTTTTGATGAAATCAAACAAAGTTTAATTTTGGACCCTTTTGACCTCAATATGAACCAATTTGATAGCGGGGCCCACAAATAAAAAATCTAAATACATGGTTAGATTCAGCATATCAAAGAACCTCATATATTCAATTTTTGTTGAAATCAAACAAAGTTTAATTTTGGACCCCAATTTGGACCAACTTGAAAACTGGGCCCATAATCAAAAATCTAAATACATGTTTAGATTCAGCATATCAAAGAACCCCATATATTCAATTTTTGTTGAAATCAAACAAAGTTTAAAAACTGGACCCTATCTTGGACCAACTTGAAAACTGGGCCCATAATCAAAAATCTAAACACATGTTTAGATTCAGCATATCAAAGAACCCCAAGAATTCAATTTTTGTTAAAATCAAACTAAGTTTAATTTTGGACCCTTTGGACCTTAATGTAGACCAATTTAAAAAACAGGACCCAAAATTAAAAATCTAAATACACGGTTAGATTTGGAATATCAAAGAACCCCAATAATTCAATTTTAGATGAAATCAAACAAAGTTAAATTTTGGACCCTTTTGACCTCAATATGAACCAATTTGGGTCCACAAATAAAAAATCTAAATACATGGTTAGATTCAGCATATCAAAGAACCTCATATATTCAATTTTTGTTGAAATCAAACAAAGTTTAATTTTGGACCCCAATTTGGACCAACTTGAAAACTGGGCCAAAAATCAAAAATCTAAATACACGTTTAGATTCAGCATATCAAAGAAACTCATATATTCAATTTTTGCTAAAATCAAACAAAGTTGAATTTTGGACCCTTTGGACCTTAATGTAGACCAATTTGAAACCTGGACCCAAAATTAAAAATCTAAATACACTGTTAGATTCGGCATAATAAATGTGATCAAAGATTTTACAAATCTAATGCGCCATACTGTGCAATTAAAGATTACTTCTTGAAATTTTTCAATATTTGAAATTTGAAAAAAAAATAATATTTGAAGAATAATTCTTTTTAATTTCTGAAATCTGAAATGAGAAAAAATTGACCCCCCACAATTTCTTTTTATCCCCCCCCCCTTTTTTTCCCTCAAGATATGGCCATAATCTCAATTCAAATTTCCAATGGAGTTGGCAACCATAATTACCCATTTAAATTTACCATAGTGCTAACTTAATCTATTTTATAATAGAATTAAAAATATAGTGTCAAATCTTTCATATGGATTTTTTTGTAAAAAAAAAAGATGCAACATTTGCAGATATTTTTACTGGTCTTCCTTTATAAATATGCATTTCTTTAAACATAATTTAAAAGCAGTGTAAGGGAAGTAACCAAAACGTTGTATTTGGATTACCTCCCTTACACTGTTTTAAATTATCTTTATTGTTCATTAACCATTACTTTATACATAATTTAAAAGCAGTGTAAGGGAGATAATTTCAATGATGTATTTGATTTATCTCCCTTACACTGCTTTAAATTATGTTTTGTACTAAAGTATATGTCCATTAACCAGGACAACCTTGTTTTTCCCCCTTTTTTGCCCCTAATTCCTAAACGGTTTGAGCCATAACCCCCCAAAGCAAATCCTAACCATCCTTGGTGGTATGGAAACTTGTAGTATAATTTCAGAGAGATCCATACACCGTTCCACAGTTATTGTCTGGAAACTAGAAAATGCTTATTTTTGGCCCCTTTTTGGCCCCTAATTCCTTAACTGTTGGTACCATAACCCCCAAAATCAATCCCAACCTTCCTTTTGTGGTATTTAACCTTATGGTCAAATTTCAAAAAGATCCATTCACTTAAACTAAAGTTAGAGTGCGAAAACCAATGTGTATTCGGACGACGACGCCGGACGACGATGACGACGACGACGACGCCAACGTCATACCAATATACGACCACAAAATTTTTTGCGGTCGTATAAAAAGGAAAAATTAAATGATATTAAATATAATTATATTTAAAAAAATGCCTACCTTTTCAAAGATTTCACCCCGTCGAACTCTCCATTTGTGAAACAACAATTCTCATATAGAAAAACACAGATTAGCATCAGACCATTTCTCTAATAATAAATCACTCATGGGTACACATTTGGTGTGGACCCATTTCTCACAGCCAGTGCACTGAATTGCATCAATAACACAATCTTCAGTACATTTTATACAGGGATATTTCATTTCCTCTGTCATTTTGGAAGAATAAGCAACAAAATTGAAAATTACTTTTTATATACCGATGTTAGTAAAATAATACCAAGCCATAGTCTTCATATTTCTTTGAAGAACAAAATTTGAGAAAATTTAGTATTCTGTATTGAAATAACACCAAGCTTTAATTTAAAAAGGTATATTTTCGAGAAAATTGTACAGTAATAACAGCATTTAATCATATCATAAGAAAACAATATAATTACTAAGATTTTGGAAACATGTTTTTTTAGTTAATAAATTGGACGAATCATAATTAATTGCCTTAACAATATTTATTAAACACAATCAGTTTATCATATAAATGTAAAAATAAAGGAAATTATTTGATAAGCTTAAATACCCGAATGAAGTTATAATAACTGTATGAACTTTTCATCATTTCAGGTTTTTTTTTATAGAATCTATTCTTTCAGTACTTTCAATACTTTTATTTTTTTTAAGTTGTCTACCTTTTGAATAGTTATGTCCGCTATATTGTTTTCAACTAGGAATTTGCATACAACACATAAAAATCGAATTCTTGAAGTGAAATTGCATTTTTATTGAGTAAAAACGAGTAATATCTTTAATTAATATTCTTTAATATTGTTAAAAGTAGTATAACACCATAAAAAAATCTTGTTATAGGGATGAATCTGTTTGTTTTCGGGATATTACGTTGTTCTTGTACCTCTCTGGAAATCGTGGTACCGAAAATGAATATACATTGTATGTAATAAAAAGAAAATATTTCAAGATAAATCTTATTTTTTCCTTTTTTGTTTCTTAATATTTTAATACAGTTGCCACCTATATGTATAATTAATGTACAAGTGAGTTGTTTACAAGAGTGAAAATAATTTGTACACGCGAGACTTCAATATTTTACAAGAGAGACAATCCAGTGTCAACAGCGACACCTACAGAATACAGAATACAGATATTTCTCTTATATGTTCAAACAATTGTCAACAAATCATTTGTGACTTTTTGTCCTATCAAATAATTGACTTGATGTCCTGTGACTTTTTGTCCTGTGACTTTCTGTCAGTTTACCGAACGTAATTGTGGGCGAATGGATACGGACCCGGATTCTATAAAATTTGGCATTGCCATAGCCACAGTTAGACAACTCAACAGGATTTAAACATTAAAAATTGAGTTAAATCCCACTAAAATAAATATTAACCTGGGTCTATAGCCTCTAAATAAGCCCCAGCAATTTTTCTTTGCACCCGCTGTCTGATATTTTCCATATTAGCACCATCAGTCACCAACAAATTTTCGGTTTCTGCCATTTTTCTGTTTTCAATAAATAATCTACCCTGATCTTCTTCGCGTTTGAAAAAATATAGACAGACAGATCAAATAAAGCTTTAAAAAAACTTTGATTTGATATTACCCGACAGACAACATCGATCTTGGTTCAGATTATGCATCTGTACTTTTTTATTTTGTATTTTGAAAGAAAACTAGTTGAACTCACGACGAGAGGTAAACAAAAATGATTTTTAGAAGAAAAAAATAAGTAGATTCGGAAAATAAAATCTAACCATAAACATTTCTTTTTGCACTAACAGTTGGTTCTCCCTAGAAGTGGACTTGAAGGTGGATACATTGACAACCAATCAGCATACCACCCAAGGACACACCTCCAGTCGCAACATCACAGGTGTACATATACTAGATAACTGGATACTGGATAAAAATCAGAATTCAGGTCAGTATAATAAGCTTCATAAATGAGTACATTTTATATATCTGTTTCATTGAACAAGACTGTGAATGAAAATTATTGCATCATTTTATAAACCTTCAACAAAAGACATTTACATGATTTATTTAATGTTAAAATATTGCCTATGCCTAGTCTATGCTTTATTTAGCTGTGGAGAGGTAACAGGCAATTTCATGAAACCATTTGCCTTATTTTATGTTTTGATTGATGAATATGATAGTATGGTTTTAGTCTAAATTTTTTTTAATAATAATATGTTAAATAAAGAGCACGTACAGTAAAGAGCGAAAAAAAAACAAAAAAAAAAAAACAACAGAACAAAACAAAATGAAATGACAAGGAATAAAACGAAGTTGACAAATGCAAAACAGAATACACATATTTTTTTAAGCGAACAGTTTTATTTTTAAATTTCAGAACCCTAGGCTTAGTATGCTGTATTATCTTATTTTACTTACAGACATGTAAACCCCATCCAGACCCTCAAATAGCATAATCCTAAAGTTTTATTCCATGCATCGGTATTGCCCCAAAGTTGGTCATCAGGTGCAAAAAGCGTCTTTTTTGACGATTTTTCGTCCTATTTCTTGACCCCAAAGACAGAGGGATGCTGATATAGGTATCCAGCTGTAGTCTGCATGTACAGTGGACCCCAGTTAACACATTAACCCTAACAGTTCTTAGGTTGGAGTGAAACTGATCTGGGAACACCAGTCTAAAGAAGGTCATTTGGACAAAAAATACGGAATTTCACGATTTTTTCCGATTTTGGACTTCAACTGGACCTGAAACCGGAAGTAGTCGTTTCCTCTGCGTATTTCAATAATAGTTATGATCAGTAGATATATGCCTGCGGGTTTACACTATTTTTGAAAGTTTTAGGCCTCTGAACTTCCTGTGTAAGACACAGAAGGGAAGCCCACCCCTCCAGAAAAACCAGTTTTATCCGATTGCAATTTTCCAAGTTCATATTTGAGCTCAAAATGCTACTTAAACATGAGAAACATGACAATAGATAGCCTCAGGTTGAGGGAACATGCATCAATTTCGAAATAAGTATCATAAAGTCGACCTCTTAAAGTATGGAGAGCCATTAGAGCCAAATAACGGTGGTCTGGGTCATCCCGTCATATAACGGGCTCAGCATGGTAAGGGTTAATATCAGATGTACTTCAAATTTGAGCCCAAAATTAGCTCTTACAGGACCTTCTACTTTTAAAGAACGAAAAAAGAAAATTTTTTAGTTATGGCCCTTGGACAGATAAAAATATGTGCAAAACAGGAGATATTGAAACACTCTTATTTTATCATATTTATTATAAAGAACATACAGTCACTTATAATAAAATAGTTTATTACCTTGTGTGTATCTGTCATTATTGTAAGTACATGCTACACACATACATATTTTGCTTCTGGGAATTGAACTTTCAGAGTTTGATCATTAATTGTATGGCAACAGTGTAAAATGTTTAGTAGTAGTTTAGTAGTTTGTCTGAAAAAAAAAAAAAGATATTTTAATTATGTTAATTCAGAACAGAATTTGATAATATTTTTTATATGTTTGTTATCACATTGTTTAACATCAAGAACATAAGAAAATCTATATTAAAAGATATCAACAATTTAAAACTACATGTTTCTATATAGATAACCATGCAGACTGAGAAAAGAATAAACCTAGAGGAACCTCGGTATGACCAAGGAACATTTACTGGTAGAGCCAGGCATTTTTTTATAACAACCAATCCATTTAATATACTAGCAACCTCACAACAATTAGAGGATGCAAAAGGAGTGGTAGAAAGATATAGGTAGGTGTTACATATTTAAAGACAGTTTGTTGATATGATTATTTAAATATTTAGTATTGTTCATTTATGTTGAAATTTTCAACATTTATTGATTGTTTGTACTATGAGAAATATTATCGCTATTTTGTGTATTTTTCCCTTTGATCTTTTTTTGTGATAATTTTTCATATCATGCTACTCGCTTGAGATAAAAAATTATCATCAAAAACTAAGAGCGCACCTGCCGTTGTTAATGTAAAAATTAACGACGTCATAGGCAAAATAGCGATAAACAGATTATCAATGGTCTTTCAAACTCGAGGATGTTTCTTGGCCACATCTCATCTCAGGGCTGTCGCCCTTCGATAATCTATAAAAATGCACAGTAAAGCATTTGTTTGTGATATGAACACTATATTCATGATATTGATATTCAGGATATTAAAAACTCTTGAAATAGCCCCTTATTCATATACATATGGAAAAAAAATTGGGTGAATCTTAATGAAACAGCTACCTAATAAAACATTAAGAAGGGACCTTATGCCTGTCATTGATAAACAACAGCTCATACCTTATGGCAAATTTTACATGACCATGACCATAAATAAGTCTAGACACATGCATGCTGTAAATAAATTCTGCAGAGATGACCAAAGAAAAACATCAGCTCACACTTAGTTACAAGTTCTAATAACCATTAGGTTGGCATGCATTCAGCTGAGTTGAATTAAGATTAATAAAAAAATACTCACACCTAATTGCTAGCTCTAGATCACCAAAGTTGTACAACTGCTGATACCTAATATAGCTAGCTGTAGATCACCACATATAAACAACTGCTGATACCTTATAGCTCAACATGCTAAATGTAGCTCTAGATCACCACAGTTTAACAACTGCTCACACCTTATAGCTAGTTCTAGATCATCACAATTAAACAACTGCTAACACCTCATAGCTAGCTCTAGATCACCACAGTTAAACAACTACTCACACCTTAAAGCTAGCTGTAGATGACCATAAGTCTAGCCATGCACATGCTGCAGAAATTATCAAAGATAAACAACTACTCACACATACATGCAAAGGCAAGCTGTAGATGACCATGAAACTTGATGACTGAATTTATAAACTCTGAAGAAATGACCATGCTCATATCTTATGACTAGCTCTAGATGAACACGAGTCTAGACATGCTGTAATAAGGATCAAAGATACACAACTGCTCACACATACATGTAATGGCAAGATCTAGATGACCACGAGTGTAGACATGCTGTAAATAATTTCAGCAGAGATGACCAGTACTAAAAACTGTTTGGCAAGTTCTCAATGACCAAGAGTTAAGATCCTGTAAAATTGTCTTAATAACTATCTGGATTCAATGTCGAAACAATTTTTTTTATTACAAGTAGACTATAATACATGTATTATATTGAACTTGTAAAGCAAAAAAGAAGCAGCTTCTGATTTTGTAGTAATATCTTATTTATTTATATTAAAAAAGTAATATCTTCTTTATTTATATTAAAAAATCAATGTCAGAGAAACAGAAACACAACAACAACTGGTTTCCAAGCAAACATTATTCGAAGGAAATATGCTTACCTCAGGTTGCAGTCTTATGGATGATTTACCAAGTCTCCTTTCAAGTATTTTACTTAAACATTTACAGCTATGCTACGATATCAATGTATTATTTATATTTAGAAAAGGGGAAACATTAGGTGCACTCAATGTATCACCTGATCAGTTGTGGCAGGCCAAACATTTATATGATTCTGCATACCATCCAGATACAAAGGAGAAAATGTTCTGGGCAGGAAGGATGTCAGCTCAGGTTCCCATGAATATGGTCATCACTGGTTGTATGATGACATTTCACAAGTAAAATAGACTAGACTTTTGTACTATTCTGAAATTTATTGATAAGGGCGAGAATTTACGTTCACTCATTTCTCTGATGTTTACAGGTTTGCCTGGAGTTAAACTTAACCCGACTTGTTTATTTTAGTGTTTAATTGATTGTGAACGAAAAACCATAAAAAGATCCTTATATATCCTAATATTGTGGATGTGGTAAGAAAATTTGTAAAATTCATGTAATTTATCTATTTCTTAATCAGGTTATTGCTACCGGGTAAGTCTGACTGGTTGCATTCAATTGATTTTAAAAGAGAGTAAACTGGTTTTATTTTTTCCAGTTCTATTTTAACAAAACTATTTTGCAGGGGAGATATTGGTATTTAGAAGCAAATCATTGAAAGTTAAGGTATCAGAACCATGTTTCTTTTGATGACTAGGAGTATTGTAAATGTTAGAAATCCACATCCATGATATAACTAAAATGTCATTTCTCTAATTTTTGTGCTATTTTCAAATTTCTTGATCGGTGTGAGAAAAATATTTCTCCTCACTAGTGAAATATCTGTTCTTGGCAAATGATTGGTCAAAATTTAATTATGACATCAAATTTTCTTGGTTTCTTCTGAATTTCCTATTGTGACGTCATGAAAAAGGTGACCATGCCCTGATGACGTCACATATAAAGAACACAACTTTCTGCAAATCTTTGAAAAGGAAGGATAAAAATCATTAGAGAAACAGATTCCACCACTATAACTCGTGTATTACAATATTTCTCCACTCTCAGCAGTTAAATTTTAATTATTTAAAAAGCTCGGCAAGCCTCACGCTTTAAATATTTAAATTTAACTCTCGAGAGTGGAGAAATATCGTAACACACTTGTTGCAGTGGTGGAATCTATATGTTTATTGAAGCTTTTTTTTAACAAGAAAGTCAATGATAAAATGTTTCCTTCTATTTTTTCATATATGACTATATAGTAAAAGATATTTTTGTCAGTTTGATGCACCCTTTCACATTTCGAAATTCATTTTTCATTAATGGTGCTTAAAACTGAAGTTTGAAATGAAAAATATATTTAACATCGAAGGGTTAAAAAACCAAATTAACAACAGCAATGGAAAAAAAAAACAAACAAGAAAGGACATCTAAAGTAGCAATGGAATATTTGTGCTCCACCAAGTATAACCTTGAAATTAAGAAGTAAAACTGATATATTGTAGGACCCCACAAGGGATTATATTTTGGCAGTGGTTTAATCAGAGTTTTAATGCTGTTGTTAATTACACAAACAGAAGTGGAGATGAGCCTATATCTAAAAAGTAAGTCACAATACTTTATTTTTTGTTTTATGTGTTTACTATTACAAATGATTACAAAAGAACTTTCTAACATTGAATGCATATAATCAATGAAAACAATGCTTTTAAACATTCAAATGGCAAAATTTTTCCTATGTCTTAGAATTCAGAATTCTAGCTATTAGTAAGTTGATATGAACTAAAGATGAATTGATGACTGTTTAATGTCCACTGGCAAATTTAAATGCATATTCAGGATGAGAATATGTTACTGTAAATTCAGAAATTATTGCGATGTTTTTATTTTTGCGAAAAATGCGACAAGGTTACTATCGCAATAATTTAAACTCGCATTTTGAATATTTTTATATGAAATGAACAGGATATTTCTAAATATCGCAAAAATTTAAATCGCATTTTAATCTAAAATGACAAAATCGCAATAATAAATGCACGCAATAATTTCTGAATTTACAGTACTGTGATGTGAATATAAACCTTGCTTTGATTAGCTGACATACTGAGCCAAATTTTAACATGCTAGCACACAAGGTAACAGTTCACAGGAAGATATCACCATGTGCATTATTTGAACTTTGAGTCATCCTATCTTTGCTCTTACATGTACTCCTAATTGCTGTGTGCTAAGAAGAGAAGCATTAAATGCTAATTTAAAAGTTTGGTTTGACAACGCAGGGAATGGAACTCACAATTTCCCTGACTTGATGAGTTGATAACAAGCATGCTGCCACTAACTCATTAAGAAAATTTTTATAGTAATGGTCACACGTTCAGATAGATTGTGTCAGTGTATTAAGTATGTATTGCCATTATTTCAGACAGCTTGGCTTATCATATGTAGGAGCCTCAGCAGGTGCCATTGGTACAGCTATGTCTATAAACAGTCTTGTAAAGGTACTAATACATTGCTTAATAAATAACAGTCAGACCTGCATACATACACTTATCTGAAAAACATACAATCTCAAAAAAGAAAATTGACCCAGGGGAAACCCTGACAACAATTATTGTAACATGACTTCCAGCTAACAGCATAACCCACAATATTTGTACTTCACTGTCTATTTTCATATGTATACTTGTCCTGAAGACACCACGCTTGATGGCAAAACATGTTGACAAATAAACCATTACTTCGCGGTAATTTACGAGTGTTGTTGTCTTTAATGTCGATCATAAAAAAAATTAATAAAATACAAATGTACTCTTAACCTCTCAGTATCTAGCAGCATGTCTAAAATTGATATATGTACTTACATCAGAATATACAGTGAATATTATTTAGTAATTTAATCTGCATAAACTTTGCACCTGCCAAATCTGAATAATTCTTTAGTCACAGAAAGTTTTGTGGAGACAAATTTCCATATTTTTGTGCAATGCATTATGTGAAAAATGCTTCACATTTAACTGCAAAATGTAACAGCAGGTTCAGAATTGGTAATTCTCAGAATATATTATTATTTAGCTAAGCAAGTTAGTAAATTCCCAAATTTTTGACAGTGACAGACATAGAAAAGAATGTAATCATTCTTCTGAAAGCAGTGTTTCTTTGTCCATATACCTGTGTTTCCTTCTTCTTTGATTAAGTACTGTGTCAAAGTTTTTACTCTTGTGCTTGTTTCATGAAAAGTATACAAGACAACTATGGCAATTGTTCAATTACAGTAGAAGGTTTAAAGAATAAGACTTAATATTACAATCTTTTTTATTTTACCATCTTTTTTAAAATCAAGTATCGAAGGATCAGAGCAATTATAACCCGTCTGGTTTTACACCTCAGAGTCTGTAGCTCTTTTTTTTATTAGCCTGGTCATTCATGTCATTATGTCATTAGTTAAACAGGTCAAATTAACACACAAAAAATCATGTCATTAGTTACACAAGTCAAAATAATGAAGAAAATTCATGTAATTAGTTTCACAGGTCAAAATGATAAACACAAATGTATTACTATGAAGAGTTTAGTTTTAACAGGTTTCTGGATTACACATGGTTTGGTGTGAGTAGGTTTCAGTTAACTATGAAAGGATAAAATGCATTACAAAAGTTAATATAAACAATTAAAAGGTGATTGAAAAGTGCATTCAAATTTTTGTCTCCTCAGAAATAGAATTTGTTTGACACATCTATCACATATTTTTTTTATTTACAGAGATTTCCACCTATTGTTGCCAGATTTGTACCATTTATTGCTGTGGCATCTGCTAATTGTATAAATATACCAATGATGAGAAGTAGGTAAGTCAAGGGCAAAAACTGCTGCTAACAGTATACCGAAGCAGGTAAGTCAAGGGCAAAAACTGCTGCTAACAGTATACCGAAGTAGGTAAGTCACTGTATACTGAAGTAGGTAAGTCAAAGGCAATAACTGCTGTTAACTGTATACTGAAGTAGGTAAGTCAAAGGCAATAACTGATGTTAACTGTATACTGAAGTAGGTAAGTCAAAGGCAATAACTGCTGCTAACTGTATACTGAAGTAGGTAAGTCAAAGGCAATAACTGCTGTTAACTGTATACTGAAGTAGGTAAGTCAAAGGCAATAACTGCTGTTAACTGTATACTGAAGTAGGTAAGTCAAAGGCAATAACTGCTGCTAACTGTATACCTATTCCTATATCTATGATGTGAAGTAGGTAAATCAAGTGCAATAACTGCTGCCAACTGGTTAAACATACTAATGATGAGAAGTAGGTGAACAAAGGGCAGTGACTGCTGCTAATTTTATAAGTATATCAATGATGAAAAGTGTGTAAATCAAGTGCAATTAAATGTACTGCTTGTAACAAGAACAATCTATAAAAAAGGTTGACATCCTTCTTTGTAAAGCAACTCCTCAGCTTCACTGCTGCAAGAAGTTCCTCCCATTCAATTGTTGAAACTGAGCACAGATGATTGGCAGACAAATATAAAATCTATGATGCATGACAGTAGTATGGTAAAGTACTGGTGTTGCAAAGCTATTAATCGTGATAATGGAATGGCTTGGGCATTAGTTTTGGATATTGGGTGAAGACAAGCCAACATACTTTAATTCATAGTGCTTTGTCACTGAGACAGGACCAGTACTATGTGCTACATGTATGTCTATTACCAGTATCTGTCTTCATTTTGGATAATAAATTTAGAACATTATTCCCAGGAACATGCATCTTGTAAGTAGAATGCATATTGGTAGTGAAGTATCAATTTTACAGTTAAAGTTCAATCAACACTAAAATCAAGAACTTAACAGACAAACTGAGTGAAGATAGTCATAGATTTAGTAAATATAAAATCTGGTTCAAATGTTCATGAGATAGTGGTTTCAGAGATTGAAACATTGATGAAATTTCATTAAGGTAGAGAAATACATCAAATAACTAAAATATTGTATTTGGGCGTAGTACTTTTAGAATTGAGAATTGAAACAGAAAGATTATATATAACAAAGAAATAGATATTTGTTATGTTCAGTAGTTGTGGTTTGTTGACGTGGTTCATAAGTGTTTCTCGTTTCTCGTTTTTTATATAGATTAGACCGTTGGTTTTCCTGTTTGAATGGCTTTACACTAGTAATTTTTGGGGCCCTTTATAGCTTACTGTTCGGTGTGAGCCAAGGCTCCGTGTTGAAGACCGTACTGTGACCTATAATGGTTTACTTTTATAAATTTTGACTTGGATGGAGAGTTGTCTCATTGGCACTCATACCACTTCTTCTTATATCTATTTGTTGATAATAATTAAGGGTATTAATTATATATGTATGACTTTGATTTTAACAGGGAATTATTAGAAGGTATACCTGTTTATGATGCTGATGGCAACAGAGTTGGAGAATCTAGAAAGGCAGCAGAAAAGGCCATAGCATTGGTTCTAGTTTCTAGAATTTGTATGGCAGCACCTGGAATGTGTAAGTATATTACATTTTAATACTGAAACAGATAAGGTCATTTTATTATTGGAGTAATTGTATTTAAACATATGACATATGTAAGACTGTTACATGTACTAATATACTTATATTTATGAAATGTATGACATAAATGACATTGAAAGAAAAAAAAAACATTCATTTAACAATAGAGGCTATAAATAGCAAAGTGCAGTGACATATGCAGGTGTATGAGGAGAATTGTTAAAAAATCTGTTTATGATGCCCTAAAAAAGGTTATCACAATTGATTGTTTCTGTGCATTTAGATTTGATTAAGTAACAGGGTGTTTTAAAAGTCATTCTTGTTACAACCTTTAATGTTGATTCAGATGCAAGTTTGTTTGAAAGGCATACAAATGTATAGCTTGTTTTTCAGACTACTATATATTTTAAGTTTTATTTAAAATACTGTAAAAACCAGTTGTGCAGCAATAAACATGAAGACTTGGACAAATTTCGGTAAACAAAACAAGTGGCTCATAATTTCAAATTGAACAATGATCTGAAGAGATTTAAAAAAAAGATTTCATACTCACTTTTTTCGACATTTATAAATATAATTAAGTGGTCTGTATTGAAGGTCACAGTAAAGGGTATTGTAAATGTTTGATATAAACAAACTTATACACTGTACTATAATTAACTTAATTCAATGAAACAACAGTACCTTTCTTAATGTGGTAATGTATTTGGCATGATTTTGTATAGAATTTCAAAGTTTAATGGTCAATATATAGACTTTAGACTTAATTTGTAGATTTTAACTTATGATCTGTTGTTTTGTGTTTGAATTCAAGGTAAACACATGTGTAACATTTTTCTTGAGAATAGAACCAAAATTAAGTCAGGATATTACATAGATGCCAACCATTACGATTTTCCCGTAATTGTTATGAATTTTGGACTAAAATTACGGTGTTACCATAAACTGTCTATTTGTTACGGATTTAGTTCATTAACTGTTCAGAACAGTTCTTGAACGTTATATATAACTTTTATCATTGTGACGCTTCATTTTTGGTTAGAATCCTGTAACATTAAGCGCTTGAATGAATTGGACTGTTATTGTCCTTTGGGGTTCTCAGGACTATCTACCTGTGTGAAACATCTCTCCATTTCTTTTAAAATTCCGAATAATTCATGAATGAAAGAAGTCTATGATTTCAATTTTACAATGTCTGGTGAAACAATTAAATTTGTGACGCAAGGAAAGAAAAATCTGAAAACGAAATTGAAAACCTGAACATTATGCCTTTTGCATATATTGTGAACAAGACTTCCATTTAGCGCAATGGTTGGTGTTTCTAACTTGCTCATAAACTTTGAATCGTGGTTTTGATGAATAAAGGAAATCATGAATTTGTTACTGTGTGCCACTCCCAAGGGTGACTGGGGAATAGAAATATGATCACTACAGGTCTTCTTCTGACTGGCATTAAAACCCTTGCCCAAGTGAAGCGTCCGTTTGGCTGTACGGGATGTACAATTACGCAGCCACGTCTGTTAAGAATGGGGATGTTAAATCCGATGCCTCATGTTCAAAGAGTGCCATGCGTTCTGTACGTTAAGAACCATTGTAACAAATCTTTCAGGGGTCCATGGTGGCCTGTGGCAATGCTAATTGTCTGTCTCATATCCAGTATACCCTCATTTTCCAGTGACATTCTTAATTTCCCTGACCTTCATCCCGAACGGAGTATATTACAAGATCTAACTGTTGTATTTACTGTTTATTTGTTCTCGTCCTGAGCACGCATGAAATATTTGCCACTGGCATTAAGCAACCAATAATCAATCAATCACATCACTGTGTGCCTGGTTGTTTATATGGTTATTATAAAATTTTACAAAGAAAATATTATTACTGACAAAATACACAAATTATGGAAATCTTAATACCTTTTTACTGATTGCACCAAAAGGGGATTGGCATCTACGACATTACCTTTTTCTTATATCTATTATGGTGAGGAAGCCTCAATTTTTTGTCCTGGTCTTTAAAGGGGTGACATGGTGTATTGCGTTAATGATGCCTTGATATATTGTCCTGGTCTTTTAAAGGGTCACATTGTGTATTATGGTAAGGAAACCTTGATTTATTGCCCTTGTCTTTTAAGGGATCACATGTTCTATAATGGTAAGGAAGCCCTGATTTATTGTCTTTTAAAGAATCACATTTCGTATTGTGGTGAAGAAGCCTTGATTTTTTGTCCTGGTTTTTTGAAGGGGTGACATGGTGTATTGCGTTTAGGATGCCTTGATATATTGTCCTGGTCTTTTAAAGGGTCACATTGTGTATTATGGTAAGGAAACCTTGATTTATTGTCCTTGTCTTTTAAGGGATCACATGTTCTATAATGGTAAGGAAGCCCTGATTTATTGTCTTTTAAAGGATCACATTTTGTATTGTGGTGAAGAAGCCTTGATTTATTGTCCTGGTTTTTTTAAGGGATTACATGGTGTTTTTGTGGTAAAAAAAACATGATTTATTGTCCTGGTCATTTAAAGGATCACATAGTGTATTATGACAATAAAGCTTTTGTTTATGAATCTCATAACTGTGTTGTGAATTGTGATATAACTATATGTTTCTTTTACAGTAACCCCACCATTTATAATGCATGCTCTGGAAAGCAAAGCTTTCATGAAGGTAAGTTGATATAGAGTTTTTATCAAACTATTTTTCATAAATAATGTTTACCAACATTTAATAACTCCAAAGTTTTTACATCTTTAATGTTAAGCTCAGTCAATTATTGAAAATTGCATCATGTGCAATATTATACACTTATTTACTTGCTATTTGGACAATAAGTTTGCTATTTTCCGAAAAAGCCAGTACATAAATGTTTATTACACAGAAAGTAGGGAAAATATTTGCTACCAGTAAACAGGGTTTGAACCTATTTACTGGTTAATAGACTTTTTATGGGACAATGTTTGCTTCCAGTAAATAGATCATACCCAGTAAATAGTCTTTTTTAGACAATTTTGCAGAAATAATACATTTATTCATTTATAATTTTATAAAGAAAATACATACATACCATGGCCTATAACTGTTTACTACCACCCCATTTTAACTCCTGTGGATAGTTATCTCATTGGCAATCATACCACATTTCCTCATTTTTATATGAGGTACAATAACATTGCATATACTGGTAAGTCTTTTTTCTATTTATAGTTGTGTTCCTCATTTTGAGGCACATTAGGGATATTGACCCATTTGAGTCCCTGTGATTTTTGGATATATTTTTTAAAGTGGTAGATAGAATGACTATTAAAAGTAGTGACAACATGATTGCATAAGCTCTAGATTATGATCTACGTAGATTGAACTTAGTATTTGACCTTCGAATTAGAACATGATTCTATTCAAAGATTATTGCAAAGTTGTTGTATTGTGATTCTACTGATTCAATCTTAAGAGCAAAGTTTTAAGCATATAATTTTAATTGTTCTACATTGATGACAATTATATACACCATGCAGTTTTTATGAAGTAAGAGATAGGAAAAGGATAAAAACAATTAAAATTACTCAAAATTTCAATAATATTCAGTCATAATATTTTGTTTTCTTTACAGAGAATGCCATGGTTGAATGCTCCAGTGCAAATTGGACTTGTAGGATTTTTGTAAGTTATAAACCGAACTCATTCTTTACTAAGATATACATACAATTGTAAGTTATAAATATAACCTCACCCTTTCAATACTGAGATGTATATAACAATTTCAGTTTATTAAGGTTATAAACATCATATTATTGGTCATCCCTCTGCCTGTATCACTTTGCTCACCGTCATTATAAAACTGCATATCAAGGCTTTGTGATGTCAATAACCTTAATAACTTTGGCCCAGATTTATCACCATCATCATTATGTTTGAACCGATGTTGATAATTTTTACTGACCTGAACTATCCAGTCCTCTGATGGTTTGCTGTTGAATCCAAGATAAAATATTGTTTCTATCATACAAATTGCAAATACATTTTGATCAAGCGATAGTCAGATTTTCATCAAATTGGCATTGTAAAATTTCATCTGCTCCAGACATATGAAGCTTCTTTTTTTTTTAACTTTTTTGCTGTGAACATGTGACCAAGCTTCTTATTGTTACATTCAGCTGATATTTTAAAGTATCAATACGCTGAAAACAAGGCCTTTCTGTCTTAAAACATTACTCAATACTAGAGTACTAAACTTTTGCTCAAAACACCAAATCAGGTATTTTGATTGTTTCATTTCTGAGTAAGAGTACGATAGTCTGAGTACGATAATCGTACTCAATAGTTTTATGACTGTAAGCCCTGCATGTATTGAGTACAAAATTTTGATCGCTCTAAAATTTTCAACTTGTATTTGATTTGCTGATAGATATCAACTAGATATTAAAAAAGTTTATGCTTGTTTTTTTCAGTTTGTTGTTTGCCACTCCATTGTGTTGTGCATTGTTTCCACAGAAAAGGTATGTTATTTTGTCAGACTTAACATTTATCTTTTATATCTTGATATTATTTATTATGATACACTGATTATTTATTCTCTGATGAAAGGGATAGTACAACAGTTTGGTTAAATGATACTTTTTCAACTGAACAAAAAAATCTGCCTCTTGACTTACTTTTTCAGGAATATTAGTGTTAAATTCATCATTTGTAATTTCTGATTTCTCATAGACTTGAATAAAGAAATCAATAGCACTTGGTTGTCGCTGTTGTTTTAGTGTAGGTTTACAAAACATATTTTTCTTAACTATGAGGGACTTTTATTTAAATGTCCATGGGGCATTCTCAAGAAAATTAATTTAATGAAAAGAAGAGAACAATGTGCTAACAGGAAACCAATAAGTTTAGTATCATTTTGTTATTTGATATTCAGTACTACTGAGTGATACTCAAGTACTTGTTGACATCCCTTGATACATGTAATGCATCTGATCTGTAAGTTTGGATCTTTTTCATTCTAATATAATCTTTGAAAAAGAACATTGAAAATATGAAATTTTATTTTCTAAAAGCATCAATATGATACTGATTTCAAGTTTTAATTATACATGTAATAAGTATATATGAACCTTTCTTTTACAGCTCCATGCATATAAACCATATTGAAAAAGAATTGCAAGAAAAACTTTCCGCATCAAGTCCACACGATTGTGTCTACTTCAATAAAGGGCTTTAATAACAATCTTTGACTTATTGTTAGTATGATAGCTGAGTTACATCTGAAGCATATTGTGTGAAATGCCAAAATGATATTCTGATGTTGATACCGAGTATTATAAAATGTGACTGTCATCTGAACTGCTACATGAATGTGTTTTTTTGTCATTGTTATGATGATTAACATGCTTCTTTGTGATATCATGAAAGTAAACTAATGATTTTCAGTCTTCATAATTAAGTTTTCTTCCATTTAAGTTCATTTCAATATCTGTCATAATCAGTTTTAAAAATATTTTCCAAATCTCATCGCTCTAAGGCCATAAAAAAGAATATGTTTGTTTGCCCTAACCCTACCTTCAATTTCTCTTTGCCGAAAAAAAAAAAAAAGAAAATGCCTACCTACCTACCCACTGTCTCTACCTTTGGGTAGAGTTTGGACAAACCAAAATATTTTTAAGTGTGGCCTAAAGGAAATGGCTTTTCTAATGATACATATAAAGTGATGAGTCAGGTTTTTGTTTTGTTGTAGCTTTAAACATATTTACGTAGATACAGTAATTTTTATCTAGTGAATAAACATTTGTTAGTCCACATAGGATTTAAGAATAGATAATCATTACTTTTTAATCCCCATCTTGCCAAGATTGTTTTTATTTTCAAGATTTTAATATACCATCCATTGCAACCAACCAAATTACCTTCAAAAATTCAAGAATACACTGCTTATAAATAAACAATTCTCAGCACAAACATTATAATGAAAATTAGAGAAATATAATAATTTTTAAAGAAAGTGCTATTTAGTCGAAATAGATCTACCATCTTACCTCTGAACTTTTCACCTAAAAGAAATGATTTCAAATGGTTATGGTTTATGTATCAAACATAGAAAAATATTATAAAAAAAAGTTTGCAAACAAATGCCAGATGTGCTGTTGTTGTTGCTCAATTGTAATTCAAAAATGTTCTCTTTCAATATATTGTTAAATATCAAATGTCTAACAAGAATTTTAAAATTGTAAGTATTATAATAACAAGATTATGATAAAAATAAACCATTAATGAATTAAATATAATTTTAGAAATTTATTAAGCCTTCATATTTTTGGAAGGAAAAATAGATTTAGTCTTAAAAAATATCATATGGTGTATCGGTCTGGTAAATATATATATTTATGAGATGAAATATGAAGTAACTGATTTATAATGTTTGATTTTGTATAAATTTTTACTGTATTTATTTTTTGAAAAGTTTGTATTGGTATATATACACTTTATATTCTAATTTTTAAATTTAAGGCTTATGGTGAGATTGGGGGAACTGAAAAATCAAAATTAAAATATTGCACAAGGAGACCACCAGAACATATAGTAATAGATTTACTATAAAAAACAGTCAAGTTATCAAGTGATTAAAAATGTACTTAAAATTTCTAAATTTTATGTTTAAGAAAATATTACAATATTTAGGGGTGTCTGTGCTTGATGCACGATGCACAAATTCTCAAATGTCATTTCTTAGTCGGAAATCAAAAAAATGAAAATCATTAAATTGTAAATTTGTAGGTTTTTCTTTATAATACCATAAACATTTTGACATTGTGCAATACAATGAAGATGTCAATTGATCAAATAGTCACTAAATTGCAGTGAATGATTGTTTTGTTTTTTTTTGTTTGTTGGTGTTTAACAACATTCACTTTCAACAAACTTGACTATATCATGGCAACCATTTTTTTTTATTTAGGAAGCACTAGTACTCAGGGAGAACTACTAACCTTCAGCAGAAAAATTGGCAATCCTTGTCAATTAAGGTTTTATTATTGTAGTGAATAAGCAATTTTTTAAGAGGTTTTTCTTCAAGGCCAGTGGCAGAAACTTCTTAAAAAATGGTTTATTTACTACAGTAATGTAATGTATGTTCCCTATTGGTATTTTGAAATAAGAAATTAAGGTTTTAGTCAAACACACCTTGCCTAGGACGGGGCATCAGTTGACAGGCTTGTGATGACTGTAGATGAACTACTTAGACCACTTGGCTACTGTGGTCCCCCGGTGAATGACATTTGTTCATCAAATTTTATAAAGAGTTACATGTATTAAAAGTGGATTTTAAATTTGTTACTAAAAGGATGTAATGCATTCCAGTTTTAGAATTGTACTCAATCCATTGAATGCTCTCATCATCATGGTACATGTATTAGCAATTATGTTAGTTCAAGCTTATTTGAATACAAATATTTGAATTTGTCTTGTATCAAATTTAGAGCTTTCAGTTTGACTTCAGCATCATGGAACTAGATCTGAATTTTGTAGCTCTATTTTTCATTTAAGTACGTCGCTTTTAATCAGAGTGCTTTTTCTAAATTTGCTCATGAATGTGATATGAAATTTTGATTTATTTTTTTCATCTTTGCTTGGTGGACAAATAATCTTAAATTATTAATTTCATTAATCAATAAAAGTCGGAAAGGTAAAATAAGATATTTTATATAGTAAATGGTACGTTGTTTGTTTTTAAAATATTAGAAAGTTATTGGAATGCAGTGCATGCTAGTCATGTGAATTAACTATTTTAAAAGTTTTCTGTCCAGAAGATTATTCAGATAAGCATATATTTTGTAGTACATTTGTTTTAAGAACATAAAAAATTCTTGAATTTTTATCTACAATTCATATATAGATGGTAAATATACTCTTTTAAACACTCGCATTAATGTATGAAACACTTTTCTTGTTTTTAATCATTGTTATCTTCTCTGATATAATTGTTGCTGTTGAAAATAAAGTTGCATAAATTTTTGTTATTTTTATAGAAAATTTAAAGTATGTTGGTAGTTTCGATATCTAAAATCTCAGCTCTGACATAAAAGTTACAAGTAGATTACTAAGTGTGAGATATATTTCAATAGAAACTGACATACTTAATAGACACATGCCTGTTGTAAAAGCTGCATTCTGACCTCTAGATCATTTTTTAGTTTTTATCTTGTTTTTGTATTCAGTGGTGTGTAGTCACTTTTGAAAGATCTGGTTGGTTCATATGTCAATTATTTAGGGTGCTGAGACTTTTGAACATAATTTAAGAATTAAACAGACAAAAATGTTACCTGAAATATTTAGTCGATTTAAGCCTCGCCAGCGACATTCCTTGCAGAATACAACAAATAGGGGTGCTAGTAAAGCTGCTGTGGTGACTTTGTTAGAACTTTGCTTAAAGCATTATATTTCAGAAGGTGGAAGTCCTGGATACTTCATATCTTCTATACATATGTGCCTTGTGTTATTAAGTTTCTATCTGGCATGTCCATTGTCCTTAACCTCATTGTCAATGTTCAGCAACTTCTTAAACATGAGTGTACACCTTAAAATGTCTCCCCTGCTTTGCTGATCATGATTAAATTTATGTTGAAGGTCTTTAAGTCAACGGTTTAACTACAAGTACCACATAACTTTAACATTATCAATAATCCATGTAAATGAGGTCAAAGTCAGATGAACTCTGCCAGACTGAATTTACAACTTCCAATCATTCCATACACCAAATATAGTTAACCTATTGCTAATAATATCTGCGGAATGGACAACAATGAAATTTAACATTAGCAAATGAACCATTTTACATCAAAGTTAGGCTGTACTCTGTTAGATAGGCTTGTAAACCTTACAATCTCTCCACATACCAAATAAAGTTGACCAATTGCTTATAATATCTGAGAAACAGACCAAAGCATGAAAACTTGACATTGGCAAATGAACAAGTAAGTGAGGTCAAGGTCAGATGAACCCTGCCAGACAAAAATGGACACCATACAATCATTAAGTAAACCAAATATAATTTACCTACTACTTATAGTATCTGAGAAACACAAAACCACACAAACCTAACATTTAACAATGAACAGTGATTTCATAACTATATTTGATTTCAAGGTGCACATGTCTATCTGGCAGAGATCATTTGACCATCCCAACATTTTCATGGTTAATGGGTCAACATAGTTTTCCCTATTTGGTCTGTTTATAGAGATACTTTGAGCAAAAGGATAAACAATATTTGGTGTGTGATATGATTGTAAGGTATACATGTCTGTCAGGCAAGGTTCATCTGACCTTGATCTTTTTTATGTTTATTATTGATAATGTAAAGTTCATGTGATACTTTTTAGTAAAACCTTGATTTTAAAGATTAACAACATAAAATTCAATCATAATCAGGAAAGCAGGCAAGATGTTTTAGCAGGTGAACTCTTATTTAGTATGTAACTGAGCAAACAGCATTAACAGACAAACTGAGTTTTGTTTCAGATACTCTTTAAAATTGAATGTTTCAAGAATGTGGCAAATTATTTAAATATTACTGCAGTAGTTTGACAAATTTCTTTTTAGTTGAACAGTTTAGGTTTTTGATACCATCTTGATACCCATAAGGAGATTGAAGAATTTGCACCCAAGTCACAATAGTACTGTTCATTACTGGAATGTAAATATATTACTAGTAAGTCAAATGAAACAGTTCATCTCCAACAACCTATAGGCAACAGTTTTACATGATCCACTTTGCCATTCTTGTGGAACTTAAATTTTGAAAGTTTCATGAATTTAATAAATGACTTAAGCATTCATAGAACAGTGAGATGAATTCCAATACAGATAGTCAAGCATTTGGGATCAAATCACAGTCATCCTGGGCATTACTAAGATGTAAAACAAAGTTAGATGAAACAAAGTTAGGATGAACATAAGTATTGGAAATGACCATCCTGAGACTTGCCATTTTGATCAATCACTTTCAGGAAAAATATAGGAAGATGGAGCTAGGTATCTGTTCTTGATTACTGGAAACAGAGCAAAGTATCCAAGATGGAGGCTACTACAGATATGTTCAGTTGAATGCTCAGTTTAACAGTGCTGATCCCACTTGATAAAAATTTTTCTTCTTATTTCATGTTTGATTAGTAACAAAACTTTGTCAAAACTCACAAGGACGTGATGCATTTAATTCTATGATTCTAAACATATTTTTGCACATATCCACAAAACAAGGAATTATTTGAATCTGAAATAATTTTGAATCCTGGAAAATTGATAAGAAATGTATGATGAATACTAACCCAACAAAATAGGGTTAGCTATGCATGCATGGCTAAGGGGGTTTAGTTAGTTCATACTGAAATATCAGTGAGATTAAAATTTACCTTAGCCATGTGCGCATGGCTAACCCTATTTAGTTGAGTTAAGTTTTAATCATTCTTTTCTTACCAATTTTCCAGAATTCAAATAATTCCTTAATTGTTACAAGCTCAAAAAAGTAAAAATCTTATCCATGCTCTCACATTAACAGCATCAATGGTAGAATATTCAGTGAATCAATAATAAACAATTCTGCAATATTTGTTTTCATGTAGTGGTTCACCAGGAAATATCCTTTTATATATTCCAGTCTGCAGTGTAGTAGTAAGTCCACTATTAATGGCCATATAAATTGACCAGTAATGACAACAAGTTATTACTCTTATTCAATACCACACAATGAATGTCCTGCCAATGGCTGCCATATTTTTTTTCAATTTGAGACAGTAATTTTTACTTAGATTTCTACATATTTTCCAAAAGGAACCAATCTCCATGTAAAATTGAAAAATCGTCTAAAAGAAATAATCCACAATGCTTTTCAATATCAAAATGGTAGCATATGCTATAAATTTATTACTTATGGATACCATATGGCATATTTTGTCAATAGTGAAAAAAAAGGTAAAACATGCTACACAGAGGAACAAGTGATCAGTATGCTGGAGTTTCTTATTGACAACATATTTGTTGAATTTGGAGGTAGACTTTTTCAACAAATTGTCCGCATTTCTATGGGAACGAACAGTGCCCCTCTCCTTACTGACCTCTTCTTATTTTCATATGAGTCGGAGTTCCTTCAGACACTTGTCAAAAACAAGAAGATCAAAGAAGCCTGATCATTTAATTTCACATTCAGATATATTGATGATGTTCTTTTCATAATAACAATCCAAACTTTTCTGATTGGATTCCATTAACATATCCTCCAGTACTAGAAATTAAAGAAACAACAGACATGACTTCCTCCGCCCGTCCCGACATTGTGTTATTGTGTTATGTTTATTTTTTGTATTCTTGTCTTTCATTTTTGCTTATGTGCTTTGTCTATATGCCATTTTGTTTTTCTTTGTTGACATATTTGTTTGTTTTTATAGTGATTAAGATTATAACACAAAGTTGACTGCTGTACCCATATTTTTGACATTTTTACCTATTATGTCTGTTTTTTTTTTCACTCATTGTTGTCAATATAATGGAATTTTATGCGACTGTCATACAAGTGAGAGGTTTAGCTAGCTATTAAACCAGGTTTAATCCACCATTTTCTACATAAAGAAATGCCGGTACCAAGTCAGGAATATGACAGTTGTTTTCAATTCGTTTGATGTGTTTGAGCTTTTGATTTTGACATTTGATAAGGGACTTTCCTTTTTGAATTTTCCTTGGAGTTCGGTATTTTTGTTATTTTACTTTTTTCTCCTTAGTCAGACATATAATCCCAATGGCAACTGTGGTTAATCAGAAATGAAAACTAAATTAAAGGTAGAAAAGAGTTACCTTTTTTCAGCAGTTATATACCTTTGAACTTAGATTAGAAGTTATTACTGTGGATTCATTTACTTTCTTGGGTAGCAATTATCGTTGATTGAGCAAAAATTGTATTTTTGTGGATAATTGATTTCATAGTTTTAACAAAGTCTACATACAAGCCTATGGAAAATTTGAACATTTAAATTTGTGGTTTGCCTCTCCCTCAAAATCCACAGAATTTGTATCCCATGAATAATAATGAGTTTACAGTATTCTCTCCAATATACATTTTATTTTATTAACCTTCAAATCATGCCTTCTAGGATGTACATCAGATATAAATATAAAGATGCATTCCATAACACCTTCACAAATGGATAGATGGACAAATGAAAAATACTGTGGATTCATTTATTTTCGCGGGTACCAATTTTTGTGGATTGAGGAAAAATTGTTTTTTCATGGATATTTGATTTTGTAGTTTTTCCGAAGTATCCATACAAGCCTCTAGAAAACTTGTACTTCGATGGACATTTAAAATCGTAGTTCACCTTTACCCGCAAAATCAACGAAAATTAGTATCCAACGAATAAAAATGTATCCACAGTAAGATCAGGGCTCTCAGTCATAAAACTTTACTCAGTACTCGGAGTACAAAATTTGTGCTCGAAACACCAAATCCAGGATTTTGATTGGTTGATTTCTGAGTCTGAGTACGAAAATGGTGCTCGAACGTTTTATGACCGCAGGGCCAGGCAACATCATATGACAAAGACAAAAGAGTGAATTTCTTTTTCAGCATAATTATTATATCACAGTTAGGTTTACATCATAATTACATATCAAAATTCAAAATTGTCAAATTCAAATAGTTTATATAGGATCAATCACGTCTGATCAACATCAATTGTAAGATCTACTTTGGTCATGTCTGTAGGCACTGTCATACCACAACCTCGTAAACCTGCCAGGAATACTGTAGGCTGAGGTACATTTGTGTAGGAATCTGTCTTCGTCTGTGTAGAATGATCTCTGAAATAAGAATAAGAGGTTTGTTGTCAAACATTTTCTTCATTTTCATTAAAAAAAAAATCAATTTTTTGACACTAGGAATCAATTATATATAACACATTATACTTATATTTCAGTTTTTATTAATGTTTCATAGAGTTTGTGATCCTTCAACAAAAACTAAG